GTGCCTGGAATTTCTAAAAGGCTCAAGACTAGAAAAAGAAAGATTGTGGATGTCACACCCCCTGCCAAGAGCATCAAGAAGAAGACTATGTATGGTCCCCCAAAGCCCTGGAGTAAAGTGGTTCCTCCCACTGACAAAAGAAAAGCTAGACCTGATAGCTCCACAATGATGATGATGATGATGATGCTGTCCAAAACATCTCACCTGTGAAGAAATCCAGAAGTAAGAAGAAAGTTGCATTAGTAGAAGAAGGTGACTCTGATTATGATGTCGAGGAAGATGTCTAGGAAATCTCTCCTGTGAAGAGATCTGCAAGCAAGAATATTTTTGTTAGGGTGCCTGGTGCTCCTCTTGACAACATTTCCTTCCATTCTGTTGGAAATGCTGAAAGTGGAAATATGTATTTCAAAGAAGAATTTCCCTTGAAAGAGAGTTGGGAGCTGGTGCACTGGAGTGCAAAGAGATTATGGAGTTGATTTCCTCTGCTGGATTAATGAAGACTGTCATCGGGTTTGCAAAATGTTATGAGACTCTTGTTAAGGAATTTATTGTTAATATTCCTATTGACAGTGTTGATCATAAAAGTAAGGAGTATAGAAAGGTGTTTGTTAGAGGTAGGTGTGTAGAATTTTCCCCTGCAGTCATTAATAGATTTCTGGATAGGTCTGAAGATGATGATTGTGAGCTGGAAGTAATTGATAATCAAGTGTGCAAAGCCATCACTGCAAACCAAGTGAGTGAATGGCCCATGAAGAATAAGCTTCTTGTTAGTAAGCTAAGTGTAAAATATGCTATATTGCATAGAATTAGAGCTGCTAACTGGATTCCTACCAATCATACCTCAACCATTACAATTGACTTAGGAAAGTTTATCTATGTTGTTGGAAATACGAAACTGTTTGATTATGGTACTTACATTTTTTATCAGACTATTAAGCATGCAGGAACATGTGTTATCAAAATGCCTATTGTATTTCCATCTCTTATTTGTGGAATTATTCTTAATCAACATCTTGGAATTCTGAGTGGTAATGATGTAGTTTGCAAGAGGGAGTCTGCTCTGACCCTTCACTTCAAGCTGTTCTCAGGAAAACATGTCCCAGACATTGTTTTGACATCTGCATCTTCTGAAAACAAGACCTCAACCAAGGATGACATGATTACTGAATTAAGGGAAGCCTGCAAAGAACTTATGATGTGATCAGAGTTAGCTCAACAAGAAAGCTAATTTTTGAAAAGATGATCAAGGAGTTGCAAAAGGACAACAATTTGGATGATAGAGTGAGCACTGAAGGAGGAAATTCTGATGATAAAGGAAGTTCTGACTCTGCCAAGTCTACTGGTCCTGAAGAAAGTTAGACCATTTGCTATTTATTTTCTTTGACCCCTTTTTTCCTTTTTGGCACTTGTATGTGCTTGACTCTTGGATTCTATGGTTTGTACTTATTTGGCATATTCTATGACTGTTATTCTCTTGAATGCATGTTTTATTTGGCATATTATGTCTAAAAAGGGGGAGAGAAATTGACTAACCTCTGACTGACTGACCACTGATTGAGGGGGATCCTCATGTCTCTAAAGATGTTTTAACATCTTCCTCTGCTAACTAACTGAGTTTTGTTTTTTCTTGTGTTGCTGCTCTGATATTATGCTCAAATAATGTTTTAGCAAAAAAATGCCAAAGGGGGAGTTCGTAAGTGTTTGTTTGCAGCAATTTTGGTAAAACACTGACTTGATAGTGTTTTGCTAAATGTCTTGACATTTGAAGCAAACTGGTTTTAAATGATGTCAAAGCAGATGTCTTGACATCTGCCTCCTGATCTGAACGAGACTTAATATTTGTTTCCAATATTCTGTTTTCTGTTTTTATGCGCGCCATTATTCAGGATTTGTGACTCATAGTTTACGAAAAATATGGAGGAGTATTTTTCTATTTGCATTATCCTTATGGATTAAATCTTGGCCTGTTTTCATGGAAATATTCAAGGGATTGGAATATTTTTTTTCCAGCCCAAGCCCACTGCTGCGCCTTTATAAGGACATGTATTATTATTCGTTTGACCGCAACTTTTGAAGAAGAATATATTCTTTCTGTTTTAGAAGTCTAAGTTTTTTAAGTGTAATACACTCTAAGTATTGGTTTAATACTTGAGTTATAATTTGAGTTGTTAATTGTGGATCATTCATAAGCTTTTAAGTATTGAATGATTGAAGTCTTTAAAACATAATATTTCTGTTGTTCTTTATTGTTAGTGATTGAAGGGATTTGAGGAGGGTCTCATACCTAGGTGTGTCTTAGATAGAAGTATAACACGGGTGGCGATTAAGTGATTAGATCGTAAACTGGTTGTTTATTGAGGGTCTATGAATTGATACTATTTAGTGGGCTTGTCCCTGGCTTGGTAGCCTCCAGAGTAGGTGTTGTTGTACACCGAACTGAGTTAACAATTTCTTGTGTTTTTACTGCTTTTAATATTGTTTCATTTTATATTGTCTTCAGATATTTGTGTCGTGACATCTCATTCGACATCACATATATGATACCATAATTTCAGCACATATATGTTATTTATTTTTAAATTTTTAAAAAAATAATAATAATAAATGACTTAACAAAAATAAAAACTACTATTATTAATTTAATAAAACCATTACATTTATGGAATAAAAAATATATATTATTCGCATGTCTGATTGTTGATAACGACATTGGTTCCACACTCCCGTGATATCAAAAGTCCTTGTACCCTAATCCTTTGAGGTTCCTCTTGTTTTTGGATCGAGGCCCCTGGAAAGTCAATGTGATCAAGATCCATGAAATCCTCCAGGTTACTAAATAGTCCTGAAGACCCGCTGACAAAAACTCGGTTGCCCATGCCCTCAAAGTTTGGTTGTATTGGTGGGGGATTGAGATGGACATATGGTCGGTAGTACTGATCAGTCGAATCGACAGAGTAAAAAGGCAATGTTTCTCGTGGTATTTGGTAGCCATATGTTTCTTGGGTGTTATGGTGATGTGGTGTTTGCATGTATGTAGGGTTGCTTAGGTCATATTCCTCATGTTGGCCCAGGTAAAGGCTAAGGTGAGAACTGAAGGGGCCCATATCAAGATGTTGGTTGTATGGTCTTTGTTTTTGGTACCGTGTTTGCGTGTGTGACATGTATTAGTCTTGATATTGGTCTTGAGGTTGGGATTGAGTGTTTGTGGATCAGTAACATCGTTGTGTTGGTTGAATGATGGTAGTGTATTGGGTTTTTTGTTGGGTGGTGTATGTATGTTGGTAATATTATTGGGCATTTGATGACGATGCAACTCGTGTGCATGAGTCAATCAAATACATCTGGTCGAACACAAACAACTGAGGCGTAGTAACCGATCTGTACCACTCCATATATTCTTCAGTTTGTTTCATTTGTAGTTGTAGGGCGCGACAAGGAATTATAGGACATGTTGACGATGCCTCTTCCACATCCGACACCATTCAGAAGCATATTCTCTCCAATTGGTAAAATTCCATTGGGCGTCCACTCTAAGGAAATGACATGGTTCCAAACACGTCATGGGCCTGATATTTCTTGATGCATGTCGAACTGTAGTTTGACACGGTCAATATGGTACATCTCCACAATGTTAAATCGTATGATCATAATTTTTGTAGTCCAAACTTCAGCATCCCCGAGGTTGGATTGATGGTCCAGACCCAAATATGGTCTCCAAATAAACTGCAGAGAGAAAATATTATTAGAATATGGTTAATATTAAAAATAAATTACTTTGAGGTGTTCGTTCTAAGTTTCTAAATTCTTCTAATGAATTCGCCATCTTGGATCTTCTCGTCTAACCATCATATCAACTATCTCTTAAGACGGTCCATGGAATAGATGTTCCAAGTTTTCATTTTAATCTGAGGTTTGATAGTCGAAAAACAAACACACCCATTTATTTTGGAAATCATGTTAGATGATATAAAGAAAAACTTAGAGAGAAAGTGAGAAGATGTTTGAAGAATCGTGAATGAATGAGGTGTTATTTATAAAAAACATACATACACTCATGCGCCATATGAGATGACGTATCTTCATAAAAATTACATGTACACGCCATTTTATATGGCACCTAGATATTGTATGTGTCATCTCATATGCCGTCTAAGTTTATTTTTAAATACATGCGCTATCTGAGATGACGTGTCCATTTAAATTAGAATCTAAATTTGATTATTTGTGTAATTTTTTAAAAAACATAATTATTGAGATATTTTAATCGTAAAAGTTGATTATTACTAAAAAAAAATAATTAAATCAAGTAGTATTATTATAATTTTTCTTTTTATCAAAAAATATTTTTGAATAATTAATAATTAATATTACCTTGAAACTTGAGTATGTCCAAAGCAACCAAAGAAAAAAAAGAACTTTAAAAATAATAAATATATATAAAATAAAAACCAAAAAGTCTGCAAATATTACCAAAGAAAAAGAATATCTGGAATATGTAATTTCCAAGGCAACTGTTTTTTTCTCTAAAATTTGACTAAAAGAGAAACAAATTAAAAAACATAAATAAAACAAACCAAAAAGTATAACTAAAGTCAAAGATATAATAAATATAAAAGGAAAGCTACTAAGTATAATAAATACTACATAAATTAAATAATATTAAAAATAACCTAAGTCCATGAATGAAAATAAAATACACGTGTAGAGAAAAACCACAAAACATGATCAATGCATAACAAAAAAAAACAAAATCTAAAACCAAATTCAAAACCCTAAATTTAAAATTTAATTAAAGTATAAAATCCAAAACCTTCGATTTCTATATTCCCTCCCTTCTTCCTCGGTTATTGAATTTCCTTTATCCATCATCGTCGTCATCATCATCACTTTTACCTACAGTTACTTTCGTCGCTATATATATAACACAGTTTCGTTTTCGTTTTTTCAATATCACTCTTGTTTCTTTACTACATTGCGTTTTCGTTTTCGGTTTCGGTCTCATGGATTCGCGTGAACCACCACAACCTCCTCATCACCCTCACCCTCACCCTCACGCTCACCACTTTCAGCCACCGTTGAACGCTGTCTTGGTGGGACCCAATCCGTTCACCAACACTGCTCCGACTACCATGATGGCGCCTGCCACTGCTCGATTCCCTCTCTTCAACATGAACGCTAACCCTGCTAACCCTCCTCCTCATTCCGAGCCTTTTACCACCATTACCACCACCGCCACTGTCAACACCACCGCCAACACTGTTGCTCCTCCCACCTTGGTGCCATGTGTTGCTGGTTCCTCTGAGTCTTTCAAGAGAAAGAGGGGTCGGCCGAGGAAGTATTTTCCTGATGACAGCACTGCTCTGGGATTGGGCTCGGGTTCGGGCTCTGGTTCGGGTTCAGGGCAGGCTCTTGCTATGAACTCTCCTGATTCTTCAACTGCCAAGAAGAGTAAGAAGGGGAGAGGAAGGCCCCGTGGCTCTGTTAAAAAGAAGCTTGGTATGTTTAATTTGTTTTTCGAATTTCGGAAAAGTATATCGCTTTTGTTGATTGTTTTCGTTGTGGTTGTTCGTTTTTCAGGAGATAATGGCTCTGCTTTCCGTCCTCATGTGATCATGGTGAATCATGGAGAGGTATGCATTTGCATTGGCTTTCGCGATTTTTAAAAAAATCGGTTGATTTATGAATTGAAATGCTGATTTAGTTTTTGATGATGTTAAAAAGATGGTTTTTTGTTGTGTTTCTGTATTCAATTGATGTTTTTCAAGAGTGATTCTTAGTTCTTACCAATATGTTTTTTTTCTTCTCTTGTTTGTAGGACATTTCTGAAAAAGTTATGGCCTTTAGTCAAGAAAAAGCGGGACCTGATACAGAGGTGTGCATTGTTTCTGCTGAAGGTTTGATTGGCACTGTTGCCTTTCATCAGGCGGGGAGCATTGTGGTTTTTGAGGTAGTTTTTAGATCCATTTTGATTAGAATTCATTCAATGACTATGTATCTGATTATGAAAAAATGTTTTGTTTGGACTCTGTTAATTGAAAGAGATCTGATGCAATATGTGTTTATTTGATCTGCATATATATGTTCTTAAGGTAGCATATGGGCATTTGACAGTGTTGTCTTTCTGGATCATGGCCTCCATCCAAAATCTGCCGTTAAAATGGTTTATGGATGGAACATGGTGGATATAATGAACATTGTAGCCTATGGATTGGTGACTAGCATAGAATCCACCATGTCATAATGACAATTTGACAACACTGACACATGAACAAAATGATTTGGATCGCACGCAATCACAATCCCACACATTCACATGTGTAGTAAGCACATCAGTTGTCACTGGGTTGAGATTGGATCGTGCAGAAAGCAAGTAGATTTTGATTTTGTTAAACTCTAAAACACCGAGTTTAAAATCTGCACTGTCCAATCTTGATCCAACAACCACCAATGTGCCGACTTTGTGAATTCGTCGGATTGTGATTACAAATCCATTGAAAATGGAATGGAGTAGTCTGCTACGCTTTGTTCTCTTTGGTTCTAGTATGTTTGTATTGTTTAGTTCAATTTTTAATATTCACTGCACATACAAACATTCCATATGTTTTGCACAGTCCAGTTTTAACAGTGCTACCTAAAGTACAATGCGTCTCATATCTTTAATATCATTTCTTGATGGGTTAAAATTTGCATACATTCCCGTGACATGAGAAGGACGTGAAATTCAATGTTGTCAAAATCACAAGTATACTTGTGGGAGTGTACGGGTCTTAAGGATCCTTGCCCACAGATGTATACTTGCGCGGTTGGAGATTGTACTCAGGATCGCACAATCTCCTGCGGTCCCCTTTTAGATATTTCCTAGGTCAATTAGTTGCTAACCAGTTTGAAAAATTGACTTATGTTGCCTTTTCTGCTGGATTTGGACGAATAATGATGTAAATAATGAATATTCCATTAATGTTAGTAGTGTTATGATTTAGATAGTTTTATGCATTGATGTGTTTGTTTGTGCAAGTTCAATTTTATATTTTAGGTAGCATTTACGATTCTTTAAACTCAGATCTTTCACCTCCTCACGATCTTAAGTAGGATCTCAACTCTGACAACAGTGGCGGGATCATACAATTTCAAATAATTATTGGCACCATTTAAGCAGATCTACTCCCATAATTACCATTATATTTAGATTCTGAAGTGTGTCACTTGCATTATATCATGTGTTAGCTTTATCATTACTAATGCCGCTTTCTATGGTTATTTGGAACTCAAAAATCACATGATAGGATCATCTTTAATTTTGTCTGTGTTTTATTTTTCATAACTTGCAAAAATGTCAAAATGTTTACTCTAATAGTTTATTTATATAGCTAAGTGTGTTTTGTTTTAATTCTCTTCCTATGATCTCTTTTTCCATCACAGGGCCAATTTGAAATTATATCCCTGTCAGGCCAGTCAGTAGAATCTGACGATGGCAGTGGCCTTAAAAGAATGAGTAACTTGAAGGTTTCTGTAGGGGGTCCTGATTCACGCCTTTTGGGAGGTGTAGTTGCTGATAAGCTTGTTGCGGCATCGACCGTAAAGGTATTGCTCTCAAACGTTAGACAATTTACGTTGATTTTTAAATGGGCCTAAGATTGAATTTTCCCTCTGACCATATTGATGTTATAATAAAAATACAATCATATAAGTTCTTGTGTGTTGACAGTCTTTTCTGCGTGAAAATTCGATCAAACTCTGCTGCATCAGTTTTATGACTTTTTTAAAAATCATTTGCAGGTCATAATGGCCTGTTTTACTTTGGATGGCAAAAAGACTAGCTCAAACAACCAGAAATCTGGGCCGTCTTCAACCCCACCATCCCATTTTGCTGCTTCTGGGACTCCAACTAGCCCTACATCTCGAGGGCCTTCATCCGAGTCCTCTGGCGACCATGAGAATAGTCCTTTTACTCAGGGACCTGGAATTTACAACAATGCAAGTCAGGTAGATCAAAACATGATGTTCCACCACCAGCAAATCTGGGCTCGCCAAACTCAGCAGTGAGAGCGAGCGGCTTTTAGGTTCACCATTGCAGAAGCAGGCTATTTGCATGGTGATTGTTCAAAGTTGTGGCTGCAGGATGGTAACAAAAATAAATGGGACAGATTTTAGGGGAGTTTATCGATATGTTTTATATCTGTTTTTCTGCTTATTAGGATTTTCAAATCATTTATGATACATTGCTAGCAAGCTCCGCTTCTGGTTAGTGAGCTTATTGCGGTTTTGGATCCGCTTGTGACTTATGTTAGAAATGAGTTATGCACCTTCTCATTGGAGCTGCATATTTCAAGTTTCATTCATGGTGTTGATCCTTTTCACCCTTCTTTCTTTTGTTCTTGCTGTGTGTAAAGAGACTATCTCGCCGCAAAAATGAAAAATAAAATGTGTTTTTATAAAAATATCATCGGAAGATACTGATTGTGGTTTTTACGTTAGACGGAGAGAAGAGTTTTAAGAGAGAAGATAAACTTTTAAGTTTTTTAATAAAAAATTTAAGTATAGGCGATATTTATAGACATTTAAAAACTCTATTTTACTTACTACAATTCAAGTTATTTTCTAGATTACATGCACTTCAAAATTGCTACATAGATATTTGAAGAAGTTATATATTTCTCTAATAAACTCCCCAACATACTTAAAGGACAACGTGATTACAACAAAATTGTAGTTTGTGTGAGCTTCTGAATGTGTGAATCAGTTGTTTGGATGGAGAGAAGTGTTGTAAAGAGAGAAAAAACTTTCAATTTTCTTATTTCAAGTATAACAGGTATTGTTAGAGACTTAAAAAAGTGTTTTCTTGACCCTTGTATGAATTTTTGATGTAGATAAGTAGTTAGAAAAGTGATTCTTTGAACCCATTTTTGACTCATTCCAAGGCCATTCCAAGTATCAAAACCTTCTTTTATGACTTAGACACTTGAAAAATAAATAAATTTGTAAGAATTTATGATTTGTTGATCAATATTTTATGTTATCTTTGAATGAACAAATTCATAAAAATGAGATTCTATCGTGTGATTGGGAAGTGAGTAGTAAATTCATGTTAGAATGTCTATATTAGGCATGGGATCTAAATTAGATAACATTTAGTGTGTTGAGAATCTATGTTAAGTCTTAAGTTAGTAATTAAATTCTCAGAACGGATCTAAATAAGTAGCATGATTTTTGGTGTGTTATTAAATTTTAGAGTTGAAATTAAGTATGATCACTTAGTTATATGTTCCTTAATACCATGTTTAAGTAACCTTAATAGGGATTACAATATTCTCAAATATGTTAGGATAAGTATTTATTTATTTATTTTTAAAACCAGAGTGGGTCAAACCAAACTACCAAAGCCTCTCAAGCAGAGCAAATATCTAACCCTAAGTTAATATTATGAGTATTACCATTGTCTATTAAGAATGTGGAGAGTTAATATTATGAGTATGACCATCGTCTATTAAGTATGTGGAGTTGTCTGCAATAATTGTGTACTCATCTTTGCTTCTGATTGAGGAAAATCTCTTAATTAAACCCAATGATACCCAATTACAAGTACTTTTATATTTTCTTTTTCTATCCCATCTTTCGAATGTAGAAAATCAACATTTTCATTGTTTACCTTATTTCTAATAAAAAATTAAATCGAGGCATACTTGTTCCTTCGTGTTTTCATCATGCTACATTAGTTATCACTCATGGGCCATTGAGCTTTATGGGCTATTTTAAGTGAGATCAAATTTTATTGATTTAAATCTTGAAATGAATATTCAAAAATATTTCCCCTTTTATTAGGATTATGTACTTTAGTTTTTCTTTCCTAAATGGTTGTATGTTATATGAATTAATCCTTATGTGTATTTAATTATGTGTGTTGTTCTTAGTAATATGAAACTATTTTTTAACTTTGTATTAATTTATGTTGCCTTTAGTGAATGTGATTTGAGTTGTAAGAGATAAGATTATATTATTGTTAGTTGGTTAATTCTTGTTAGTTGTTATTTGAGCTTTAGCTTGCATTTGGGTATGTGCATGTTGCTTATATAAAGGGTCATTACTTTGTAATCCACACAACTACAGTAACAATAATAACAGTTTCAGTTTAAGAGTTAGTTACACCAGCCTAACTCAGCAACATCTCTCTCTCTCTCTCTCTCTCTCTCTCTCTCTCTCTCTCTCTCTCTCTCTCTCTCTCTCTCTCTCTCTCTCTCTCTCTCTCTCTCTCTCTCTCTCTCTCTCTCCTCTCTTCTTCTTCTTCTTGTTGTTTTTCACAATATTCATCTTTCTTGAATCTTTTGTTCCAACAAATTGGTATCAAGAGCTTGTTTGCGATTCAGAGAGAACCTAATGGCAAACAGATCAACAACCTCAACACAATTTCCAACAAATCTTCCGGTTTTCAAAGGTGAAAACTATCAAAGATGGGTGACACAAATGAAGGTTATTTTCAGATTTCAAGATGTTGTAGAAATCGTGAATGGTGGAATGTCACAACTGAAGGAAGATGCTACGGAAGCCCAGAAAGCTGCACACAAAGATCAGAGGAAGAAAGATGGAAAGGCATAGTTCTTGATTCACCAGTGTGTGGATTGTGATGTGTTTAAGAAGATAATCGAAGAAGAAACAACAAAAGGAGCTTGGGAAAAGCTGAAGTCTTTGTATGGTGGAGATGAGAAACTGAAGAAGGTGAAATTGCATACTCTGAGAAAGCAATATGAGATGCTGCAGATGAAAGATGATGGATCTGTTTCAGCATATTTCTCAAGAGTGGTGATGCTAACAAACCAGATGAAGGCGTGTGGTAAAGCGTTAACAGATCTGCAGAAGATAGAAAAAGTATTAAGATCTCTAATTGCAGATTTTGATTACTTTGTTGTAACGATCGAAGAGGCCAAGAATCTACCTGAGATGAAGTTGGAAGAACTTCAAGCTTATTTGGAGGCTCATGAAATGAGACTGCAACAAAGAAACTCAGAAAGGGAGAAGACAACTGAACAAGCATTGCAATCAAGATTTAGCAAGAAAGCTGGAAAAGAGAAATCGAAGCAGCCTAAGAATATTGTTGGTGATGAGAAGTCAAGCAAGAATACTGATTCGAAAGGAGTGGGCAACAAGTATTCTGGGAAGAAAGTTGACACGAAAGGGGTGCAATGTTATAATTGTCAAGGTTTTGGCCACTATGCTAGAGATTGTCGAAGCAAGAAAGCTTTAAGGTCGAAAGACAATGATGAAGCTCAATATGCACGAACTGGAAGTAGTGATTCTGATGATGTGTTGTTGCTGGTGAACACTCAATCGAACACTGAAAAAATAACATGTGATATCTGGATACAGGATCTAGCAACCACATGACTGGCAATAAAAACTGGTTTACCAAGTTAGATGAGTCAGTCAAAAAGGTGATAAAGTTTGTAGATGGCAGACATATCAAATCAGATGGTAAATGAGACATTTCGATTATCAGGAAGGATGGTCGAAAGGCTACTATCACTGAAGTTCTGTATGTACCTTCGATGACAAGTAACTTTATAAGTGTAGGTCAATTACTTGGAAAAGGCTTCAATATGAAGTTGGAGAATAATCAGATGAATGTATATAGGGCTGATGGGAGGCTAATCATGAAAGCACCATTGGCAGAGAAAAAAACCTTCAAAGTCGAACTCAACACATCAGATGACAAATGTCTTGCTTCAACTGCAGAAGAAGACAAGAACTGACTATGGCATCACATGTATGGACATCTAAACTTCAAAAGTTTATGTATGCTCAATCAGAAGAAAATGGTGCTTGGGTTGCCGTATGTGAAGGAACCAAAGCAGATATGTGAAGAATGCTGCAAAGCTAAGCAGGCAAGGAAGGCATTCAAACATTATTTTCCTATAAGGTCAAGGCAAAAATTGGAGCTGATTCATTCAGATGTGTGTGGACCTTTCAAAGTAAAGTTCAATGGAGGTAACAAGTATTTCCTTACTTTCATTGATGAATTCACCAGACATATGTGGATTTACCTCATTAAAAGTAAGAGTGAGGTATTCACACAATTCAATAAGTTCAAGTTGCATGCTAAGAAACAAAGTGGCTGCAAATTGAAAAAGTTAAAAATTGATGGTGGTGGTGAATATACTTCAGCAAAATTTGCCAGATTTTGCAATGAGGAAGGTATAAAGCATGAGGTTGTTGCACCCTATACGCCTCAGCATAATGGCATCGCTGAGAGAAAGAATAGAAGTGTACTGAACATGACTAGATGTATGTTGAAAGCTAAGAATATGCCTAAGAGATTTTGGGCTGAAGCAGCTTCGACAGCAGTATACATTTTAAACAGATGCCCAACGAAGAAGATGGTTGAAAAGACACCACATGAGGCTTGGACAACGTCGAAGCCAAATGTAAGTCATCTTAGAATTTTTGGACCAATGTGTTTCAGGCATGTACTTGAACAATTGAGAAAGAAGCTGTATGATCGAAGTGAAGTCATGGTGCTCATAAGTTATCATTCGACTGGTGCATACAAGTTGTATTCACCAATCAAAGACAAACTAGTGATCAGTAGAGATGTTCTTGTAGACGAAAGCAAAGGATAGGATTGGAGTCAAAGTGCAGTTCGACAAGAATCAAACACAGACACAAATGTGTTCGAAGAAGATGAAGCTTCGACAAGTCAAAATGAACAAGGTGATACTTTGACTGGTTGAAATGAAGAACCACCTGTGCAGAACGAAAGAAGATCCACAAGAATAAGAATTGAGTCAACTAGGCTGACTGGATATGAGAGGTTTCCAGATCAAGCAATAGATGCTGATGGTGACTTAATCAAAGAAGTCATGATGATGGCTGAAGCAGAACCAATTGACTTGGGTGAAGCCTTGAGCAATTCAAATTGGTGTGAAGCCATGAAAGAAGAACTTAGAGCCATTGAGAAGAACAACACTTGGGAGCTTGTCGAAAGAACCAACAAGAAACCAATTGATGTGAAATGGATCTACAAGGTGAAACGAAGGCCAGATGGTGAGATTGCAAAGTACAAGGCAAGACTGGTGGCCAGAGGTTTTTTATAACAACCAGGTATTGACTTCGATGAAGTGTATGTGCCTGTTGCTAAGATCGAAACAATCAGGATTGTTGTTTCCATAGCTGCATATAGAGGATGGAAAATGCACCAACTTGATGTGAAGTCAACATTTTTAAATGGGCCTCTAGAAGAAGAAGTCTATGTCACTCAACCACCAGGCTTCGACGTCAAAGGGCAGGAGTAGAAGGTTTACAAATTGAGTAAGGCTCTCTATGGCTTGAAGCAAGCTCCTAGAGTTTGGAATAAAATGATAGATAGCTTCCTAATCGAAGCAGGGTTCACAAAGTGTGTATCTGAACATGGAGTGTACGTAAATGATGTCGAAAGAGCCAATCGAATCATTTTATGCCTCTATATTGATGACTTACTAATTACAGGAGCAGATGAAGCTGAGATAATGAAGGTAAAGTCAAAGTTAATGCAGGAATTAGAAATGTATGATTTAGGGAATCTTTCCTACTTCTTGGGAATGGAATTCAAAGACATCGAAGGAGGAGTTTTCTTGCATCAAATGAAGTATGCTCAAGATATATTAAAGAGGTTCAATATGAGCAACTGTAAGGCAGCTGTTACTCCATTAGAGACTGGAGAAAAGCTGAAGAAGGAATCGAATGATGAGTTTGTAAGTTCGACCCTTTACAAACAAATTATTAGATCATTGAGGTATCTTTGTAATACTAGACCAGATATCTGCCAAAGTATAGGATTGTTGAGCAAATTTATGGAGAAGCCTCAGGAATGTCATCTCATTGCAGTAAAGAGGGTGTTGAGATACATTAAGGGAACTGTTGATCATGGTGTGTTGTTGCCAAAAGGATCGAATAACAGTATAGAGGTCGAAGTGCATGGATACACTGACTCATATTTCAGTGGAGATCAAGATGAAAGGAAGAGTACTACATGGTACATTTTCATGATCGAATGAGCTCCAATCTCCTAGAGTTCGAGGAAGTAAAGCATTATGGATTTGTCTTCATGTGAATCATAATATGTGGCTGCATCATATGCTGCATGCCAAGTAACATGGATCGAAATGCTACTTGAAGAGCTTATAATAATGGAATCAAAGATGAAGCTGTTTGTTGATAACAAGTCAGCAATAAATCTTGCGAATCACCTAATGTGTCATGGTCGAAGTAAGCACATTGAACGAAGGTATCATTTTCTGAGAGACCAAATAAACAAAGGGAAGTTTGAAATAGAACATTGCAAGACAGAAGTGCAACTAGCTGACATATTCACCAAACCTCTGAAGAAAGTGAGATTTGAAGAGTTAAAGAAAGACATTGGGATGAGAAGTTTTGATAACATGAATTAAGGGGGTGTGTTAGTTGGTTAATTCTTGTTAGTTGTTATTTGGGCTTTAGCTTGTATTTGGCCTTGGACATGTTGCCTATATAAAGGGCCATTACTTTGTAATCCACACAACTGCAATAACAATAATAACAATTTCAGTTTAAGAGTTAGTTACACTAACTAACTCAGAAATCTCTCTCTCTCTCTCTCTCTCTCTCTCTCTCTCTCTCTCTCTCTCTCTCTCTCTCTCTCTCTCTCTCTCTCTCTCTCTCTCTCTCTCTCTTCTTCTTCTTTCTTCTTCTTCTTCTTCTTCTTCTTATTTTTCACAATATTCATCTTTCTCGAATCCTTTGTTCCAACAATTATGTGGTCGGCCTTTCTTGGATGTTATTATGTGGTCGTGCTCTTTTGGTCGGGATAAGATATTACTCTATGGTTGAGATTTTTTGATCGAACATGATGTTATTTTGTGGCCGGTCTCTCTTGATTAGAATAAGATGTTCGTTGGAATAGGATGTTACTCAGTGGCCGAACTTAGATGTCAAATTTGAAATGTACATAACCTAAAATTATTTTTGAAATTGTTTAATTGGAAAGGGTCTATTCAACCCCCCTCTAGATCTTTTGATGTCCATATTCTCAACCAACAATAACCAAATGCTTTTGTGAGAATTTTTTTTAGAGTGAGATACTTTTGTAATTTTAGAAAGGATATAAATGTATATTTCACAAAAGATTGATTGAATAGTGTCTAATTAGAGATTATTTGTGACTCAAAGCTAAACCCGGTAAAAATTTTGGTTTAAGGGTTGTGTGATCAGCCCTACAGTTTGGTTGAAGATTAGCCACTGTTAACATCTTTATTGCTTCTTAGTTAGCCTGGTCAAAACCATGATAGGTTGAAAATTAGTCTGATATTAAAATCTTTGAAATTCTGGCACACACACAATATCATATGTCAAGACTGATGTCTCAATAACACACAATGTCACAACAGATGTTATGACATCTGTTGACAAAACTAGAACAAGATAACAACAATGCAGAACTGTAACTTATAGAAATAAAATAAAACATAAAATTGTTACCCCAGTTCAGTGCAAACTCACCTACTATATGGCTATCAAACCAAGAAGGAAATCTACTATCACTAGTATCAATTCAAAGCTAAATAATCTCAGTTTACACCTCTCACTTAATTCTTACCCAGTGCAACTTCTACTTAGGCACCTCCTAGATATGGAAAATTGCCATCTCACTTCCAGTCACCGCAGTGATAAAAGACATGTCCCAATTCTAGTGTCAGTCTATAATTCAGTCACAATCACAGTGACTCGAAACCTACTCAAAACTGAAGTTTACACTTCAATCACAATACTCAAACTCTTGCTTAAAAGCTTTAAAGTGAGAATAATAACTTGACAATACAATCAAGTAACAATACAAACAAAGTCCAATTTTAATATCAAAGTGATAATAAAATAACTCACAATAAACACAGTCCAACTCTACTATAGAGTGGACCACAAAATAATAAAGAACAAACTAAACCCTAACATTCTTCTTTTAATACATGGCTTAGCTACCAAATTAAGTTTAGAAACGACTTTTAAATAACTTTATGATATGCATGGGCCCAGGCTCTTTATTTAAATAAAACACATATCCAAAACAGCAGCTGCAAATATTCTACAAAATCTTCTGCACAAAAGTAGGAACAAATCTACAAAGTTTCCTAAAAAGTCTCCAAAGATAATTTTTATGAAATCAATTAAACCCGCACTTTGTTTCTAATAGATCTCCTTGACTTGTGCATAATGATGATATATATGCAAAAGGATCTCATCAAAACAAATCAAATCTGTCAAAATTTAAAAACAGAAGCACAAATGTGCTGCATATCAGAACAAGATGTTACGGCATCTTGTTCAACATCCGGTCAGAACCATATTTTAGCAAAATGTTGTCAATCCACAAAACCATGGTACTAACAATCTTCATAGGTTAGAGATCAATCCAGTCAAAATTTTATAGGTTGTTTGGTTTGTCCCAGTAAAACTAAAGGTATTGAGCTCATATATTTTAGAACTTGAAGACAAACAACTCCAATATCCTTGTTTGTGGAAAAGAGACCAACCGCTTTAATCTACCGTTGAGAAGAAAAATTTATCACTTCACTTTCATCAATATATTGAACAAAAGACGCAAACACTCATATCTTTCGTCTTGTAATATTTAGTTGAAGATCAACTATTATTTCTTTATATAATAGGATTCGTGAGTCTTTTTTACTAAAAAATTTCAACTATTATTAAAAACTCTCAAGATTAATTCTTAAAGATAAAACTAAATTATTTTTTATTAAATCTGTATAATTCATAACATTCTTCTTCTTTCCTTAACTATTTAACTTTTACAATTTATTTTCCGGTGTTTAATTTTTAAAAATAATTTTAAACTTTGATTTATCACACGATAAAGAATTGTGATTTTGTTTAATAGAAGTGTAAAATATCTTTTACATGATAAAAAAAACCTCTTATACAAGGATTGCCATCTTAGAAACCGCCAGCTAAGGATGTCACATTCAAATACTTTCTAGTTGCGCGTCCAAGTGGAGCCTAACCCAATCTGTCACCAAAGTCGACACACGTACCAAACTCTCCCCACGCGCCACTCGTGTCTCAACCACTCTACAACTCACCCTACGTCATAGCTTTGACGTGAAAAAATTCCTTTGCACTCCCACGCGCCACCCTTCGAGCGTAGCAATACTATTTCCCTTATTGCAGTCCAAGGGATCCTTTCACACCAACGGCTACTTCTCATTACAAAATGCAAGACGACAATGATGTTTATCCAAAGTAACCTTTTCTTTCCTTTATAGCCACCCAAATAATAATTAAATTCATTTTCATTTTCATTTTCATTTTCTAATTTTCTAATCCAAATCCATACATAAATATCATCAAATTTATTTTAAGTGTTCTAGCAAACTTCAAGAGCCACCAACAACAACTTAAGATTTCTATCCATCATATCATACAACCTTATTTAGCTCAAACAAAAACCTACAACCTCGTACCTTGCATTTACATATGGATTGTTTGGTGATGCCAGTTTCATTGATCCGGAGAAGATCAACAGGCTCACGGTTAGGTTACAAGCCACTAACCGAAGATGAGTTGGATCAACAAGATTCCGACAGCCGCGTGACAGTGGTGGTCGGAAAAGAGAAGAAGGTGTTCCTTGTAGACCCTATCATATTACAAGAGAATCCATTTCAGGTTTTGATGGATATCTCTATGAAGAAGAATCCAACAGAGATAGAGAAGAATCATTTCTGTTTCGCATCAAGTCATCATCATGAGAGAGTTATCTTTGTGGATGTTGATGATATTTTGTTTGAGCACATGTTGTGGCTTATGCATAATGATACATCTTCTTTGTTTAAGCTTAATTTGAAAGATATTGTTGATTTCTATACTCATGAGGATATGTAATTCTAATCATCTAAGTTACAAAGGTGTTGTATTATGTTAAATTTTCAATTATATCTTCATATACTTCAATGTTATACTTAAACAATAGTTGATTTTAGATATTTCTTTATTCAATTTCTGTTTTCACTTCTAGGTTTATTTGCACTCGTCTAATGTAATTTACTTTGAAGGGAAAAAAGAGAGGCATTTCATTGTTGATGGAAATATAAAATGATTAAGTTATAAGTTTATATGTGTACATATAAAGTTAACCAATTTTTATTTATTTAGGATTATTTTCTTTAGTTGAAAACTACTCTAAAGAGTGAAATCAATTTCTTCATGACCCTGGATGCAGCTGTTTGGCCAAGTTTTCAGCCTTTGGTGGAGTAGTCGGTGATTGAAAATGACATTCATATACATTGTGGGAGGTGTGATCAAGAATAGAAAAGAGAGATGAAAAATATTATTCTATGTGGCATGTGTTTCACTAAAACCAGAGTAGTCCTAACTAATTACAGTATGTGTTTGATTGACTTTGAGGAAACTGATTATAGAAAATTGATTTTGAATAAAAATGAGTTATAAATAAAATAATTTATGTTTTGAATAAATTGTTTTAAATTTGAGTCGAACAGTATATTTCAGTGTAAAAATTATATTTATATTCAATTGTGAAAAATATAATCAATTCTATTCAACAACAATCAAACATGTCAGAAGCTATTACACCATCTAGAATCAATTTTGGAGACTCCAAACGTGAAATCAAATATACACTAAATAATCACAAATGATGATTTTGACACAAGTGTTGTAACTTGCGAACATCTTAGAACTTTTTCAAAGATTCTAACACATTGCTTACCTCCTAAACAAAGTGCATTCTTGTGAACGTAATCATGGGGTTTTTAATACAATCTTCTACAATTCTTCACCTTGACTTTAAAATTAATGATGAGTTCAATTTAATCATCAACCACCTTGCCGAACTCTCCAAAACTTGAATCATTATTCAACAAACTTGTTCAAGTTCAAGCTATGGTTGAACCTTGATCTCGAAACTTGCATATAACCACTTTTTCGTGCTTTAGTAGTCTCATAAGCCCACAATCATGATTCTTCACTAATGAATGTCTTTTAACATCCATTAGATTCAAAAAACTTTGTCACCCTTTTGATTTTGAAGGTCTCTATTCATAATTTTACAACTTTTCAACCACATTAAAAGCATAACAATCAATGTCAGCATAACCATATCACTGAAATGGTATAATTTTACTCTTTACCCTATAAGGAGTCAAATGATAATCATGAGCCATTGTACATTTTTCCATACTAAAACTAGAACTAGAACAAAGAGCCTTACTTTCCTCTTCGTCCCTAGTCTCCCTAGAAATAACCTCCACCTCAAATTGAGTATTCTTCACGATATTTTATAATTCTTCCACCTCCAGGTCTTTAATGTTTCCCGTATTTCTGGTCTCACCAAAAGTAACAACCATAATTATGATAACGCGCCGGAAAGGCGGTCTTCTTGTTCGTCCTTCTTTTATCTTTGATGAGTTTTCATAGGAGTCTAAGGGATTTCTCAATAGAAATTCTCCAAGTTAAAGGTCCTTCTTGTTGCGGTGCTTGTTGTTGGACTTGCTAACTTTGAGCAACTCTTCTCGCTTTGGGAGGCTCTTGAGACAACACTCCATCGTTGATCTCAATCTGCATCTGCTCCATTACAACATTTCCTATCCTTACAATTTTTTTCAAGGATTCCTCATCCTCAACATGGAAGCCAACATGATCCAATACTCTTATGATCATATGACCATATGGAAACCATATAATCCTTTTTCTCTAGCTCCCAATCATGTGATAGATCATTGCGCTAACCTAGTTTGTCTCAATTTTGTTGGCCAGTAACCAATTTACGGCAAAATCAACTTTGGACAGTTAGCATAAGAATATCTAGGACAAGAATCATAGTCTTGAATCCTCTTTTATAAATTGTTAAAAATAAATTTCAATTATTCTAAAAACACAACCTAAACGATCGTCTTAGATAAATATACGAGCATCTGAATTGGTCTATGAGGATCCATAACTTCTTACTACTTTAATATATTCGTACACTTGTAGCGTATCAAATTTTGGGCTCTGTTTCCGGAGACCATTTTGATATTTAAGTTCTACTATTCTCACATCTAGACTAAGCGCCTCATTTCTTGATATCAGTTTTATGTGAAAGTCCCAAAGTTTTAGAAATATCAATGAACTGATAAACAAAACCGAACGTTATTTTTAGGTCGATTACAACAACCATTTATGATGGTTGCAATTGTGCCACATCACACCCTAAAAGACTAGGTTATCCCCACGAATGAGGAACCTCATTCGAGCATAGTGCGCCATGTTATGGGTGCTTATAATTTTGAATTAAAACCCTCTTATTTATCCATGGTACAACATAACCAATTTTTTTGGATGCAATCATATTCTTCAAATTTTGCGAAACTTTAAAGATGGATGGAGCAGGTAGCAAACCAAGTCGGCTTAGACTTTTCCCATTTTTCCTTAGGGACAGAAGTCACTGGACCACAACATGGCTACAGTGGACCCCCTCAAAATCTATTATAACATGGAATGAACTTAAGGTCGTGTTTTGTGTAACACTCCATTTTCTAGAAATTATTTGATTTGATTTAATTATAATTTTGTGGTGTTTATTTAATTATTCATTGTGGTTAATTAGATAAGTTGGGGGATAAGGGTGTGTGACCATGTGGTGAGGTGTAGAAGTAATTAGAGATTGTTAGAATAATTAAGAATTATTTTATTATTTTAACATAATTATTTGATTGTGTTAATTAAATAAAATAAGAAGAAAATAAAGGTTGTAGTAACATTGAGGACACAATGGAAATTAGAGGGAAACTTAAGAGAGATGTAGTAATTTGAATGGTTAAATTGAAAATAAAATAGGTGAAGCATAATTAGAAGAATTAAAATTAAAATAAAAAGGGAGAACAGAGAGAAGTTTGGTTTTTGACAATACGTGAAAATAAGTTTGAAGAGTTAGGGCATAAGAGAATCCTCATTGAAGGCTTGAAGAATTGCTGGAAAAACCTAAGATAAGGGTGGACTATTGCATTTCAATGGTGATTGACATGGGGTAGGATAGAAGATTAGGTGTTTGATGTTGCTAGGGTTGTAGACTGTGTTGCATGGGTACGGGTATGTATCCAGTACCCAATACAGAGTATGACATTTTAAAAAAAACTAAGGTACATATATATTACTATAAGTTTTTTAAACTATAAGTATAAAAATAAAAAAGGAATTATATTTTTTAAATAATAACAAAATATTAAAATTTAAAAATAATTTATTTTAAAAAAGTTAATATCCGCGCAATAACATAAATACATTACATTTAAAAAGTATCAATATATCATAAAATCATGGCCGAATATTAATATTTTCTTCTCCAATATCATTAAAAAGAGCAACTTATAATTCAGATTTATCGAGAGAAAGACTAACAACTTCAAAATACGAGCTCCATCAAATAGATCTCATTCATCACCATAAATATCCTATATTTTTGTTGCTCCTTCATTATAAACCTTACTCTTTCTCGAGAGAAGACAAAGATTTGTATATACAAAAACTAAATCCTCAACCTTCTTTGGATTGAGTCCATTTATTTTCAATGAGTAAATAAATTCATTTTTGCTTCAATTTCTCTAAGTAGAAGATGGAGAACTTGGTTGTGAAAGAAGTTTCAATGCAATAAATTGAAATTTCAGGATTGAAGATCAATAAATTACACACCATTCCCTAGGTTTCAAGTTCCACCCATCAGAAAAAAAATTAAAAAATTGGGTATGTGGTACCAAATATGTACCGGTTGGTGTACCAACTAAAAAAATTTAAAAATTGGCACGACTTTCGTGTGTACTGTACACATACCATATGCGTACCAGTACCCGATACGTACCAGGTACCGGTACTTTACCTAAAACGGAGTATCCGGACTTCACAGTTGTAGATCTATGGTTTTGATAAAAGTCTTGAATGATGATGATTGTGGAATTTGATTGTGTTACAATGCTGATTTTATATGATTGATGATTAAATATAATGATATGTAATTGATGTTGTGTTGTGTTCTTGAGTCGGGTTGAATTTGGATGCTTTAGAGTATCCACGTCCATACCACTTAATTTGGTGGTTTAAATTGGTCCCACTTAATATTTTATACTATTTCACACTTTTCAATTACTTAAACCACTTAACTATATTTCTCAAATATCCATACCACTCATTAAAATTTTAAACATGTCTCACTTTGCCGTTTAATATACTCTCACATATTGACTATATACATATTTTAATCCATATTAAATTAATACCACCTTGGTTTACTGTGGATACTTTGCCAAATTTGGACATGATTTTAAAGCAACAATTATCCATTTCACTCTGACATAATGGTCTTGGTATATGTGAAACCACTCCAAAAATCCACCGATGTGGATGCTCTTAGGACACGAGTTTGAATGATGATGTCATGAAGAATATGTGAAACAAGTTGATCTGATGGTATATGATCTTTTGGCATTGATAAATGTTAATTTTTGATGTTTTTGGGTGACTACTTTAGGACTGATATGGATTTTGGGGTACTGAAATCGTGGTTGCATTCATAACAGAGGAAAAATGAGATTTTTGGAAAATTGTATAGGTACAATCAATTTCACTATTATGGCAATCAATTGCATCAATGTATTTTTAGAAAATTTTGAAGTTACAATCGATTGCACTATTATTGCAATCGATTACATCAATGTATTTTTAGAAAAATGTGAAGTTACAATCGATTGCAGAGAGGGTACAATCGATTAAATATTGGAAATTTGCTGGCGAAAATTGTTAAAAATTACAATTGATTTTATCATATATACAATCGATTGTCATAAGCATATTTTTGAAAACAAATTTATTTTGAACTATGACATGCCTTA